GAGATCTGCCTGCCTCAGCCTCCCGAGTGCTGGGATTAAAGGCGTGTGCCACCACCACCTGGTTTCCTTAGTATTTTATCTGCATCTCTCAGAAAGGACATTTTCTTGCATTACCACACTCTGATTTCCTAACACCAACCTGTGTTCAGGTTGCCTACACGGTCTCAGGCAGGCTTCTTTGTGCCAGGCAGCTGTAGCTGTGGCACTGTGGGGTTGGTCCACCTTGAACAGCAGTTCCTGCTTCCTACTTGTGATATGAGCAGGTTGACCACAGCCCACCTTTGTTACACAGGGAGAGTTTGGGCTGGAAGATCCTGGCTTCCCCTGAGGGTTGGAGAGCCAGAAGTAGGGAGTGTGGAAGTGACTGTGGTCAGTACCTGCCCAGTCAACAAGGCTTTGTACTCCTGGGGAGTTGGCCAGCAGCAAGGAGCATCCTGATCCCAAGCCAGGCTCTGGCATCATCATGCCTGCTTGAGCTGTCTGCCCTTCAAAACACAAGTAGTTTCTATTATGTCATCTCCAGAAGAGGACACTGAAGCTGAGGCACAAGACAAAGCAGGACTGATGTGGCCTGCACCACTATGGGGGCAGGCATTTATGCCAATCCCTGTCTTAAGTCTATCAGAGTTGTCACATGCCTTGTATCCCCTCTGCTGGCTGTCATTACTGACCCTTGTATGCCCTGGGAGTCCTTATAGGACAAGGCTCTGGCCTCTCCACAGTGCATTCAGCAGATCTGAAGTGGGAGTATAGTGGGAAAAAGATGAACTCAAATACTACAGGACATTCCAGGCCTGGCAGGAGACTGCAGAGTGGAATGCAGTGGAGAGTTGTCAGCCCGAGGGAGGAGGGGGAGCTCGTGTATGCAGCCTTGTTTCTCACTCCTCCCCACTCACAAGATGTTTTCCTTTCATTACTTCAGTAATTGAGCTGAAAGCTGAGGACCGGAGCAAGTTCCTGGATGCTCTCGTGTCTCTGCTGTCCTGAGGGTAAGCTGGGGGTAGGGGTGCGGGGGAAGTCCTTGGGCCTCAAGCCTGACTCCTGCTTTGTCTCATTCAACAGAGACTTTTACTTGTGTTTCAGATCAGAGCAGGGTCTGGAGATTTTTCCCAGGAATGTCTGTCCTAAGAATTCCAGCAAGGCCACAATGGAGGGCTTCTGAGAAAGCTTAATTTCATTAAGCACCTTTGACCCTCAGAACAACCCCAAATTTTCTCTCTCAGCCATGGGGCTGAGCATCATGTGTGACATACAGATTACCTAGTGCTAGCCCCAGGGGCCACCCAGAGTTTCTTACCGCCATAGCCACAAGCCCCAGGCTGGAGCCCACACAAGTGGCACTAGGCTTCTCTGCACTCAGTCTTTAATAAGACAGCAAGCTGTTGGCAACTACCCAGCTACAGATGACGAGATGTGGGCTCTACATGAGCCTTCAGCTGTGGACAGCTACGCTGAGAGCCCAGAGCACCTCCCGAGTAAAGCCCTCGATGTTCTCCCACATGGTTCTTCTCTTTGAGGGACCACGTGAGAACAGAGTAGGGCTTTTCTCCCGTGCCTGTGCAACCATCTCAGCCTTTCCAAGGCTCTGACATGGGAACACCTAGTCTGGGGCTGCCCTAACCTTGTTAAATCCTGAGCTGTAGGACCAGAATGGCCTAGTGGATCTCAGGAACTCCATTCAATCAGGGTAACTAAGCATTCAGGGCCATATTCAGGAGGGGGTTTAGACTGGACCAGGAAATCCTTGGTCAGACTAGCAGTGACCTTGGGCTATGTAATTAATCTGACTCCAAAAAGGAGCCAATGACACCCTTAGGCCACAGATGGCAAGTGTGTACATGGCTTGTGGGGGGCAGCATGTGCCAGAACTGACTGGAGGCAGACCTCCCTCCTGTGCTGTGTCTGTGGCCATCCGGCAGGGGTGTGACTGGCAGGGGAAGGGAAGATGATGCTACATAAAGGGGAAAGCAGTGGAGACTGGCCAGGCAAGGGAGGGGCCCTTGTGCATGGGCCATGAAGCCACCCTGGCAGGATAAGGGGCCAGGCAAGGTCTACCAGGTGAGAACGGTTTGGGTACTTTCATGGGGACAGAGGAGACTCTGTAGGGTGTGTGGGAGGACAGTGCATACCTCAGCAGATCCTGATGGCCTTCCACTCCACACTCATCCTAGTGTGAAAGCTGCTTGAAAGCAGCAGCCTGGCACACCCCGGTAAGGCCTTGTTTCAGTCTGTTTGATGCTTGGGGAGAAAGGATCAATTGTGTGAAACCTTTTTTTTTTTCTTCCAGGATTTGATTTCTCCAGAAGTGACCTCCTTTTCCTTATTTATATCACCTGGCCTCTATTAGATTGCAAGATACATTTAAAGTGTGGGACTATGTGGTTTTTAATAAAGTAAAATATTTGTTTGGGGTTTCATCCCATTTGTGCCTAAGATCTTCAGTCAGTACTTACAAGCACTCTGAGTCTTCTTGGGATCCAGGGCAACCTTGTTCCTGTGTGCTGTATCCCAGACAGAAAGTCAGAGACTTCTCTACTCGGCCCCTCAGACAAGGACTCCCCTACCTGCTCTCCTGGCTTCCTGAGGGGAATGAGCAGAGGCTGGGCCGGCCCTTCAGTACCAAGTGTCTTCACAACCAGTACCTGCGACAGCTGCAGCCCACCAATTTGAGGAAGAACTGGACTCTGCCTGCCAGATTGGAGTTGTATCACCCTCTTGAACACCCCCCACCATGGCCTTCAGCTTACCATACAGGGGCTGCTCAGATGCCTTGTCCCTGCAGGCATGCAGGGTCACACTACTTTGCAAATGGGAAACTATCAGAGGGAAGGCCTCAGATCCAGGAGGCCTAGGAGGGCTTAGCTGCCAAGTGGTGCCTGAAGAGAAACTCCCAGGGTTCTGTCAACATTGCACACACCCACTCAGAACATTTCAACTATAGCGCTTCTTAGAATGGTGGAGCCAACTGTCACTGTTCCTGGAGAGACTGGAAGGTGGAGAGGGGCTGGTTACTTACTGCCTGGGGACATAGGTCCTGGAGAAGCAGACATGGTGGGCATCTGAGCTGCTAGGGAAGGCAGCATGGCACACAGTCCTAGACAGAGAAGTTGTTTAGGCAGGTTTCCCTCAACTCGTTTTTTCAGTTTTGAATTTGAGACAGGCTCTCACTATGTAGCCTAAGTCATCTCCTCTTATTCCAAGTACTGATGGTAATTTTAAGTCAGTGGTGAGAAGCACACAAAGTGTCCTAGAAGAGGGGCCCCAAATGTTCAGGCTGCTCTTAGGGAGATGAGGGAGTACAAAGGGTAGGAGTTTGGTGGGGACTGCTCCCCTTTCCTGACTGCTGGTAGTGCCACCAACTACTTTGACATAGCCGCCCTGGGCATTCCGGAAAAACTCAGAGGTGGGGCAGTTCCCTTCCATACTCTGTACCGGGTAAAGACCACTGCGGGAAGAGTGCACCACCAGCCAAGTGTGCCAGCTAGAGCACAAAGCTAGCTGTAGGATCACATGTCCCCAAGCTTAAGGCTGTCCTTGATTCCTCCTGCACATGTGCCTGTTAGGCTGTTCAACTTGGTGCAATGAGGTTTTCCACCGACAGTCTCACAGGCTCAGGCTACTGGAAAGTCAGCCTCCCCATAAGTCTCACCCTTGCCTTCTCTCCCCAATTCTGGAATCTGTCCTGAGCCTCTCTAAGCTCATATCCTTAGGATTAACCCCCCTTCCTCACTGTGAGGAACCCAGCCAAGCCTGAAAGACCTAGCAATGGATATGGCCAACTTTCTGAACAGACTTCTGGAAGCCAGAAACCAAGCCTTCCTGCTGTTGGGGCTTCATATGCCTCATTGCAGCCCCTTCGTTTGCTACTCCTATATCTGGTCTTTTAGCAAAAGGTAAAATTGTCCAAGTAGGGAGAAACAATAAGCTCTGTGGCTGATGGCTTTACTTGCCTTTCCCTCCTAGAGTCTTACCAAACCCTGGCCCTTCACCACCAACCCACAATAGTCACACCCCCAGATCCCCTGTAGTTGTCAACACTTTGCATTACCAACAGCCTAGGCACAGCCTAGACCCTGTGTGGAGCCACACTAACCAGAGGAGCTAGGACAAAGTGCTGGAGTCGGGCCCCAGGTTATAGGAGCAAGTGCCTCTCCTCCCATTTGTTGTGCACTGCAGTCAGAACTGAGGACCTGTGAGATCCTTGATTGACCCTGGCTCCCACACACAAGGGAAGTCCCTGGTCCGACTATACAGTTGTCTGTGGCTATCTCATGGTACCTGGAGCTGAAGTATACAGTACTTCATGATACTTACTGGACAAGCACTGGGAGGAAATGCTTTAGGGCTTTGCTGGGAGAAGCTAGAAGCCTAACTACCTACCCTCACACTTCCCACCACCCAAGTCCATTTCCATGATGTGAAATTACAGCGGGGTCCTCTCCCGGGGTCAGCTTCCCCTCCTATATGCCGACCTGACTCCAGCTCTTGCTCTGGGATTTTCTGCCCACCATCTTGGCTTCTTGCAAATGTAACTGCATCTCCCAGCTGAGGACTGGAGAAATCCCTGTGGAAGACTTTGAGGAGGTTGGTGGGTGATTGGATGAATAGCGGTGCTGGGCACACAGGGAGTGGCTAGCTGGACAGAGGACAGGACACGGTGGAGTGTTCAAACCATTTACTAAGCAAATTCTTGCCCGCCCCACCCCACCCCCAAAGCTGCGAGAAGGGCAGCTCCTCTAAGGTTCTGGTACCTACAGCCCCTCCTCCCCCCGTTGGGGGAGTGCTGGAGCAAGAGGAGGTCCAGGCCAAGTCCTTTGGTTCAGTGGGCTCTCCACTAAAAAGGAAAATGCCCTTTATAACGCAATCCTCTGGCAGCCCAGGCTGCGAGCCTGGGGTACTCCAGCTGCTCTTTCAGGTCAGCAGGAGCTACTGGACATTAAGGCAGCATCCAGAACTCCCCAGTCTCAATAGGAACTGTCAGCTACAGTTTGGTGCCTGCTTCACCGACAAAATCCGAGAGCCCCACCTACGCCGCGGCCAACTGCGCATAGAAAAGGAGGTCGGTCAAGTCCTCACAAGCGCCTGTAGTCTGTTCTGAGAAAGGGTCTGGCTGGTGACGATCAGAGGACCCTCTGTGGGTACGGAAAAGACTGGCCGGAATCCAGCCTGACTTGCCTCCGAGTATGCGCTGCGCAACCCAGCAGCGGCTGCCATCCACGTGCGGCTTCCCGCGTC